GTACGAGAAAGCGGCGGCGAGCCCGCGGCCGTCTGCGATCCCGCCGGCGGCGATGACGACGATAGGCTGGCCGGTGAGCGGGCTCGTGGCGTTGCGACAGAGGTCGACGCAGGCGGGGACGAGGATGGAGAAGGGCGTGTCGCCGGTGTGGCCGCCGCCCTCGCCGCCTTGGGCACAGATCATGTCGACGCCTGGGACGTGTCGTCAGTAAGGTCATCTGTCAGGCTTACCGAAAGTGGGGGTACCTTGCGCGAGGGCTTTGTGGACGTGCTGGGCGGGCGGGTGAGGTACGGGGTGTGCGGGGGAGAGGGAGACATACCTTGGGGTGGCCGACCATGCTTGTGTGCGGAGGCGGGAGGTGAGTATACAGGGTGGTGTCTAGAGGGAGGACATACTTCATGACGAGGATACCGGCTGCGTGCAGCTTGTCGACCATGTCTTTAGGAGGGACGCCGACGGCACAGACGAAGAGGGCGGCCTTGTTCTTGATGATGATGTCGGTGAGGGCGGGGAGCTGGCCCTTTGTGTAGTCGTACTGGGTGAGGGTGTTAGTGTGTGGGAGAGTGGGAAAGGAATGGGGATGGTACGTTTGTCTTGCGGGCGTGTCCGCCAACCTGGGGGAGGGCGAGGTCGACGCCAAAGGGAGCATCCTTGTTCTCTAGCTGGCTCTTGAGGTCGTCGATGGCCTCTTGGAGCATGCGGGGGGTGTAGTGTATGCCGCCAATGACGCCGATACCTCCTGAGAGGATGGAGTGAAGTACACGTAGCGAGACATTGAGCAGAGCACGCACCGGCGTTGGTGACGGCAGCAGCGAGCGTGGGGCCTGCAGCCACGCTCATGCCTGGTGGGAGGGGTCAGAAAGACAGCGGAGGGGAGGAAGAGGGAAGAGACAGGACCTGCGAGCATGACGGGGTGGCTGATGTTGAAGAGGCGAGTGAGCGGAGTGGTGAACAGTGGCGGCGACGAAGACGGCATTGTCCCTGGTGGCTGGGAGGAGACGAGGCGAGTGGCAGAATCGGCGATCGATCGATCGAGATGGCTGCGCGAGGCCGACGCGACGAGGACTGGCAGAGACGGGCGGGCGCGGGCGAGTGCGAGCGCGTCGGACGGATGACGTAGGCACGTACACCCCGCTCGGACCCCCGGCGCGCCCAGTCTCGGGCGTCTTTCCCGGCAGACCCACTCTCATAGTTCGGCAGATCGCGCTCCCCGCCCTCGTGACCTATTTGGCGGATGCCCATTGGCTGGGAGCGGACGCGGAGTCGGCTGGATCGGCCGCATCAATGTGCAAATGGGCCAACGCCTGCTCGAACTCTTTCATCCAGCTGACTCAACGCAACCCACTGATCTCCCTTATGTACCCTCCACTTTCGTTTCCGTCTGCGGTCTCCCTCCATGTCCCGCTTCTAGACTCTCCCATCGACCCCTCGTCCCGTACCATATTTCTGTAGAATATCCATGTCGTTCAACAGAGACTCGGTCGCTCCGTCTGCAACTCCTACACTGCACGGTGACGATCCAGAGCACCCCGTCGTCCCGCGCAAACCATCCCCCAAGGTCGACGACAGCCCCCCCAGCGTTCCTGCCGAGTGTCCCCAGGTCTCCACCATCCCAAATAACACACAATCGCTCGCACACGACACTCCCCAGGTCCTCGTCGTCGACTGGAATGGTCCAGATGACCCCGAGAATCCAAAAAAGTGAGCGCCTCCATCTCCCTAAATGGTTCGTCGCGTCCTGACGCGCTCTCTCCAGCTGGTCATTCAAGAAGAAATGGGCTGCCACCGCAATCGTGTCTGCCTTCACCTTCATAAGCCCAGTATCCTCCTCCATGATAGCTCCCGCCAGCGACCAACTCGCTGCAGAATTGGGCATCACCAACAGCGCAGTCATCGCACTCGTTACGTCTATATTCGTGTTGGCCTACGGTGCGCGCATCCCTCCTCCAGCCCTATCTTTCCGCCTGACGCCCTCCCCCCCTCTCACACAGCCGTCGGTCCGCTCTTTCTCGGTCCCCTCAGCGAGCTCTACGGCCGCTCCAAAGTCATCCAGCTCGCCAACCTGTGGTATCTCGGTACGCACCCACTCACACCCGCCCCCTTCCGCACGCTCACCCATGCCTCTCTAGCCTGGAACTTGGGCTGCGGCTTTGCCCAAAACCAAGGCCAGCTTATCGCTTTCAGGTTTCTCGCAGGTCTCGGCGGCAGCGCTCCGTTGGCGGTACGTCCCTCCGTCCCGCTTTCCTCCCATACGCTCACCTTGCACCTCCCCCCCCCCTCCTCGCTTCCTAGATTGGCGGCGGCGTCCTTGGCGACTGCTGGCGCACCGAAGAGCGTGGCCAGGCGATTGCCGTGTATTCGCTCGCGCCCCTCCTTGGCCCCGTGATCGGCCCTGCGTGCGGCGCATGGATCGCAGACCGCTCCACATGGCGATGGGTTGTAAGCATCCGCTATGATTCTCCCCCGGCGCGCGTCATTCAGGTGGCTGATGTTGCAGCGTTAGTTCTGGTCGACGAGCATCGTCGATGGGGTCGTGCAGTGCCTCGGCGTGCTGTTTCTGCGCGAGAGTGAGTCTCCTGCGACGGCCAGAACCCCATTGACTGACGTATTTCTTTGATAGCGTTTGCCCCGCTTTTGTTAGAGCGACGAGCGGAAGCGATGCGTAAGAGTATGGATATAGAAAAGGCACGGTTGATCAACGTGTGCACCGTGTATGACAATACGGACAGACAGTGAGTGTCCAGGCGCTGCGCAAGGATATGAGACTGGTGCTGAGACAAATGTATAGCTGGAAGCACATCTTTGCCAAGGCGCTCGTGCGCCCATTCCAGCTCTTCTTCCACGAGCCGATCATCCAGCTTTTGGGAATCTACATGGCATTCATCTACGGCACCCTCTACCGTACGTCTACTCACCCGTCGGACTGCGTTCCGTATAGTGCTAACGGCGTATATGCAGTATTCCTGACAACCATCGACAGTATTTTCGAAGACACCTACCACCAAAGCGTCGGCATCGCGGGGCTCAATTATTTTGCCCTCGGCGTGGGCTTGACCGGCGCGTCGCAAATGAACGCGCGGCTGCTGGATACGATTTACAAGTACTTCCAGGCCAGGAATGGGGGTGTGGGTAAACCCGAGTTCCGCTTGCGTACGTAGCTTCGATCCTGCTTCTCGTTTATCGCCAAAGTGACTGGAACCTGTGTTTTTTGTGTTTAGCGTCAATGGTGCCTGGGACAATCGTGCTGCCTATTGGACTGTTCATCACGGGATGGACAGCGAATGCTCATACGCATTGGATAGGGCCGGATATCGTGAGTTATCTTGAGGGATAGCACGAATGATGTATTGACGTAGTCGGCCGTAGGGCATCGCGCTAGTGGGGGCAGGCACCATCCTGAACTTCCAATGTATCCAGACATACGTCATTGACGCCTTCACACTGCACGCTGCGTCCGGTGTGTAATTGATCCATTCTTCCGCTGGTGGTAGGGTGTGCTGACCTCACGGTGTAGCGCTAGCGGCGGTGACGTTCCTGCGCTCGTGTGCGGGCTTTGGTTTCCCGTTGTTTGCCCCGGCGATGTACAACGCGCTGGGGTACGGCAAAGGCGACTCTATCCTTGCTGCAGTGGCCATCCTCATTGGGTGTCCTGCGTACGTCTCGCTGCTGTTTTCTCTCGTGCACTGGGTGACTGATGTCCCGACGTCACAGACCATATCTCTTTTGGACGTACGGCGAGCGAATACGAAAGGCGAGCCGATACGCGCGCAAATGAAGACCCTCACGCACCCACCTTATAGACGTTTTGTGCCTACCCATGTTTTCTGTTTACGCTTTATGACGTGACGTCTGTAACTGCTCATGTTTGCATTGCATTAGTTTTGTTCGTACCGTTTGCTGCATCGTTTGTATAGAGTCGTAGCATACCCTGCATTGTGTAATCCCATCCGGATGTTATTTTCGTATGATGCTGGCGTCGACTGGTATCTTGTTCAGCTAGCGATGTG